AATTGATCTTCTAAAGTAAAAACAAAGTGTTCTCAAAATTAGGATTGCTCCTTATATACACAGGATTGAGTCTTTTCTCTCCCTTTACAGTCAGAGAATTTAAGAATAAAGAGATATTGAAATCTTTGAAATTGTCTAGTCAACTCTAGCTCATAAATGTGAAGAAATTATGGCACAGAAAGGTGAATAGCTTTCACAATGCCATATGTTATTAAATTAAGACATATTGTTAAATTAGGTTAAAATTGGAACCAGGACTTCAAACTAGGGTCAACTTTTCAAAGAAATCATACCCTCTATTTAAGAAGTATTATAGCAGAAAAGGCACGATTATTTCACAAATGCTCATATGGATGCTTAACCTGCAAAAAATCTTAGCATTTTTTACTATTCTAGGAGTAGAAATGTTTCCTTTTTGGCCTTAATTAACAGCAAAGGGCTCTGGAATGAGGATATTTAGTATACAATTCCACATTCTTGGGTACACACTTGGAAATGGATCGATAGAAGAATGAGGATATGAAGCAATAGAAAATCTCATTCATTGCTGTTAAGCATTAAAAAAGGTATAGCAAACTGGGATGATAATTTGGCAATTTCTTCCAAAACTGATCCAGCTGTTGCACTCTTTGGTATTTACCCAAAGGACTTGAAATTTGATGTCCTTACAAAAACCTGCACATAAATATCAGCTTTATTTATAATTGCCAAAGCATGGAAGCACCAAGATATCTTTCAGTAGCTGAATGGATAAATAAACTGCAGCACATCCAGACAATGGGGTACTATTCAATGCTAAAAAGAAATAAGCTATCAAATCATGGAAAGTCATGGGAGAAACTTAAATGCACATTACTAAATGATAGATTATAGAAGTCAATTTAAAAAGGTTACATACTACATGGTTTAAACTATATGACAGTCTAGAAAAGACAAAATTATGGAGATAGTAAAAGGATTTGTGGTTTCCAGAGGATAAGGGGAGAGAGGGAAGAATTAGCAGAGCGCGGAGGATTTTTAAGGTGGTGAATCTATTTTGTATGACTTTACCGGTAAATACACGTCATAATGCAGTTGCTAAAACTTATAGAATATACAACCCCAAAAGTGAACCTTAAGTAAACTGTGTACTTTGGATAATAATGATGTTTCAATGTAGGTTGTTGATTCTAACAAATGTTCCACTCTGAAGTGGGATGTTGATAGCAGAAATCCAAGCATGTGTAGAAACATAGGATTCATTGGAAATCTCTAACTTCCTCTCAATGTGGCTGTAAACATAAAACTACTCTAAATATCGTCTATTTTTCAAAAAAGTTGTACTTTTTGGTCTTTTTTTCTTGATTTTTCTTTTTTCTTAGGGTAGTAATTTCTTTTTTCCCCCTAACTTTTATTTTTCTTTCCTATTCATGCTTCTTGCCCAAAACTCCTCAGGCTAATAATCTTATCACTTCCCTGCTCTGGCTCCAAGACAGGTAACTACTTTGCTGTTAAACACTTTCTCCTAAAGACCTTACTTAAAAATATATGGTTACTTGGCAAACCAGCAAAAGTTATAGGTTCGTAACACTTCAAAATATAAAAGTATCTCGGTTATAAAATTGCATTTCAAGCTTAAACACTTAGCTTGTATACAAAATAGTAAAGATGAAAGCACTTTTGTTTTCTTCTTACCAGAGATGTCTTTAGCAAGGATAACCATGCACGTTCTCCCCCCGTTTTCTCATCAACTCATTTTAGAGCCATTAACCTTCCCTAAAACACTGAAGAGGCTCCTGCCTGTTTCTCCAGTGCCTCCTGTATGAGGGGACAGGTGGGTTTTTCTGACTGGTGGGATGGAGAAAGGCTGCCATCTATTGGTCCGTGTTTTCCGACTGAACAAGACCTAAGGTACTGAGTTGTTTACACATGGTTTTCGCTGAGCTCTCTGCTCCTTCCCAGTGGCTGGTAAGGGAGGTCCTAGTCCTTCATACCTCTCATCAAGCTCTCGCCAAGTGTGGATCCCAAAGTTCATGAGCAAAAAAAATAAGGAGCTCTGTTCCAAGTTGTGTTCTAGAAATTAGGGTTAGTAGTTGTGAAGCATATATATATAATTATATAGAGAGAATTGTGTGTGTGTGTGTGTGTGTGTGTATATATATATATTTTTTTTTTTGAGACAGAGTTTCAGTCTTGTTGCCCAGGCTGGAGTGCAATGGCACGATCTCGGCTCACCGCTACCTCTGCCTCCCGGGTTCAAGCGATTCTCCTGCCCCAGCCTCCCGAGTAGCTGGGATTACAGGCATGTGCCACCATGCCCAGCTAATTTTGCATTTTTAGTAGAGATGGGGTTTCTCCATGTTGGTCAGGCTGGAATCTGACTGCCGACCTCAGGTGATCCGCCCGCCTCGGCCTCCCAAAGTTCAGGGATTACAAGCCAGAGCCACCGCATCCGGCCGTGGAACCTCTATTTTTATTCCTGTTCCCTATGTCTACTTCTCAGTTGGTTCACAGCACAGAAAAAATAATATGCATCATTAGCATGCACTCAAGCCCCAAAAACATCAAGGGCATTTTCTATTGCTTTTTTAAAAGTCAATACAAAATTTTACAGGGTATCTACGTGTGCCACCCATACTGAATTTAACACATCTTACCTAAGTGGAAAGAGCTAGGAAAAGTCTCATTTTCAAATTTATAAAACTCTCATTGCTTTCTTCAAGCTTCCTACACTGTTGCTAGGAGTGGATTCATCTCCAAAGCCATTATTGCATTCCGAAATGTTAACATCACATATTTAATTGGAAGGAAGAGCAAGCTAACTTAAAGCAAGCTTGGCTGGAAGTGACAATCTTAGGTGAGGATGATCTAGAGAAGAAGCACAGAATAAGAAGAGGACCCTAAAGAAGCTGCTTGCTGCATAGGCAGTAACTTTTTCCCTCAACTGCTTACTAAAACTAAGTAATATTAAAGTATAAAAATGCCATAGAGGTAACTTATCCCTTCTGTCATCTTCAAATATATGACCAAAAAAAAAAAAAAAAAGCTCAATGTCAAGGGTACAAGAGTTGAATTTGTATAAAATTAGAAAGTTTTATATATATATATATATATATATAGAGAGAGAGAGAGAGAGAGAGAGAGAGAGAATTTTTCATAGTCCCTTATGTAAGCATGAGGCTTATGAATGAAAATATCACAAGCGCTCTTTAGAACAAGGTGTGCTCACAAGTGGTCATCTAACTTGAGGGATAAAGTGTTGTTAATGTCTGGCCTTCCTGGATACTTAATTGAACCAAAGTAATTTGTGGAGGGAGGCTTATCATTATAGTAAATGAGATGGAGGGGAGCAAGTGAAGCAGAGTTCAAGACAGCAGGAAATAAAAGACATAGAGAACTATCAGACCAGAAAGGGGAATTGAAACAGACCTGATGTAGCACTAATCATTAGTGAGTGAAGTAATGAACTAGGAAGAGATGGGTTTTAGTTATGGCCCACCAAATGGAAATGAGAAATTTCCAGATGTTCCATATGGTCTGTAATTTAAATGCTTTGTGCCTTCAGGTCAGAATTTTCAAGCAGATAACAGATGTAGAAAAGACTCAGGATTGCATGCAAACTCCACGATGGTTAGCTTTCAAAATCTCAGGGCTTGCATGTAAACTCCTCAAGTAAGAAGTTGGACTTAAAATAAAGCCTGTCAGACCTTAGGCAGAATTCCAGCTGAGGAAAAGAGTTGTAGGTTAATAATAGCTTCCCTTTTACATCCCAATTCAAATGGTACAAAACAGTGTTAGGAATTTTAACATGATGGCACCAGTTCAAGAGCTATAGGGTTCAAAAGAACATTTCTTGCCAAATGGCCTTTTTGCTAAAGAAAATAATTTGAATTAAACACCTTGATATTGGGAGATTAATTCTGCATACAACTGAACGTGATGCCCAAAACATCAAAATGTCAATTTTATCTTAAAGGAAACAGAAATTTGCTCTACAGTTACAAGTAAATTTTCATCATTTTTTTTAAACTCAGAACTAGTGGAATTATTACATTTTCAGAAGCAAAATTTAAGTCACTGAATAATCTTTGTGAGGTCCTATGTTGTATACCAATAGGATTTAGAAATAAGCCTCTCTCCCACCTAGCATAAAATCAAGTAAAGGAGATAACAAATGCACCTAAATAATCAAACATTCTACAGTGGCTTGAAATCTACATACTACTAAGTAAATATGGAGATGCTGAGAGTAGAACAATATTTATATCTGATCAGAGGAATAAAAGAAGTGTCATAGAAAAAAATAATATTCCAACTGAGCCATATAAGTGTATGTGATAAAATGCCATGAGTATTTCAAAGCACATGTTTGAGTACAAGCTCTGCTCTACACTTACCTTGTGACATGAACCAAGTTACTATATCTCTCTAAACCTCAAGCTCTGAATCTGTATAATGGGAATATAGATTTCCTGAATCGGCGGGTTCTTGCTAGGATAAAAAGAGATAATACATTTAAAAATGCTTCCCTAATATGTAGGACTCAGCACAGAGGAACCTCTACTTTCCCTCCCCCCCGTTACTGCTTTGAACAACATATAGAAACATTTAGTGCTACTACTCTCTTCTCAGAGGAGGATTAGAAGAAAGGTTTTCCCTCTGTCCTTCACTTCTCAATTACTGTTCCCTATAGATTAGGATTTATAGGTAAACATGACATGAGGATAGCTGGTCCGGTGTGCCCCAGGTTTCTTACTTTCTCTCTCTGTCCCTCCTTGCTTTCAGTTAATGGCCAGCAGGCGAATCATGTTCTCTTTTCCACCTCTGTTTTTGGGAATCCAGACCCATTATTCACCCTATTACTTCAAGGTATTTGAGGCAGGGGTGAGATCCTTCACATTTGCCTCCTGGCTGTTAGCTATACGGTTCTGGACTTCTTCGATTTTAGATGGGAAAAGTATTATGAAAGCTCCCTTTAGTTTGGAGCTGGAATGTTAGTCTCCATACCATTTTGCTGTGTATTTTTCCATAAGGCTCTTTTTTTAGTTTGTTTGTTTTTTTTAAATTGATTTAGAAGTAAATGAAGAGGAAGGTGTCATTAATTATTAACCTTCAATTATCTGAATTATCAGGTGATACCTTGAAGAAAATATAATCATATGGGCATGAGCTCACAAAATGTAGAATCTAAAGTGAAAAGAGCAGGTCATGTATGTTTATGTAAAAGAATGGCTCTTCATAGTGGAATATCACGGAAATACTGGACTTAGGTGCCTGACTCCTCTTTCTCTGGAAGGACAAAATACAATGATTTCCCTCTTGCTCTCAGTTTGTTTAAAATATATATTAAAATATCCAAATTGTCCTGTTGTATAATTAAATTTTTGAGATATTTCTATACATGCATACTATGAAAATGTTTATATTTTGTATAAGCAACTTTGAAGAATGTAAAATCACCAAAAAACAAATACTTCAAAGCTGTATAAGGAATGACTTTTCTATACATTCCTAGGTGCTCACGTCAGCTAACTGCACCATTTAAAAAATCAGCATGGAAGCCACCTCCACCATCTGTGAAAATAACACTAAAATACATCATTGTGCTGTGTCCTCTAAGCTCACCTATGGAGTGTCCGGCTCCTTCACTGAAATACTGATTGCCTATACCCGAGGCAAAAATCCTGGACATCTACTGCATAGAATATTTCTTGTCTTACTTGTTAGCAGCTGAGACTGAGTACGCCCTTAAATTTTGTGCCTCAAGCTCAAAGTTTGTCACACCCTAATCCTGGCTCTGTTTAATCAACGTGTCAAAAAAATGGTTATGAATAAAGTGAAACATTTGTTTTAGCTTTTACTGGTAATTTTGTTTCCTTTGAGTTGAAACTTTTCTGGGTCAAACTTAATCTTCACTCCCAATTACTGATACTCAGATATAACTTGCATATTCATACCTTATAGATAACAGGGTGAACAGAAATATTATAGACAGCTAGAACACTTTATTTAGAGCACTCTAAAACAGAAATGGGTCCGTCTTCCATTTATGAAGTTTTTACCTTAATGATTTGAAACTATAAACTACACATCTATTCAGAAATTGAGAATGGCGATCTAAATGTTTTAAAACTTACACATGATATGAGGTTTGAGACACTAGGATTGCCTTGACAATTAAATCTGACTTACGATCAGATGCTCTAAAATTTGATCATTATTTTTAATAAATTTTCATAAATTTATATATATGTTTGTGTGTGTGTTTATTCAGTAGAGTGGAGGAGAGTGTTAGAAAGATGGTGAAATAGGAGTTTCCAGCACTCATTCACTCACAGAAGCGAATTTGAACTATCGCAAGCAAAAATAAGTTCATGAGAGTTAAAGAATACAAGTGAGATATTATAGCATCCAAGTGGACCACAGAAATAAGAAAAGACCCCAGAAAAGATGCACTGAAGAAGGTAGGAAAGATAGTTTCGCATTGTTGGCATCACCCCACCCCCAAGCCCGTGCCACTTAGAAAGAAATGCCCTCTTTGTGGGGGAAGGAAAGTAAAGTGAGTGCCTGACTTTGCCCAAGTACCAGGCCCATCCCAGTGAATTCTGGAGCCAGCTGATTCCCATGCTGCAGCTACCAGTTCAACCCCCACAGCTCTAGGCTTCAGTCCCAATTAAGTGCAAGTCTTGCTCCATGGCCCAAGGCTCCAGGCTGGTGCCTGTATGACCAGGTTCCAGCCTACCCCTGAGGACCCATGCCTCAGGCTGATGCCAATGCCAGGCCAGTTTTTGCAGTCCCAGGCTCTAAGCCTGACTCAGTGCCAGACCATCTTAGGGACACCAGACTTCAGCTTGCCCCTTCAGACCTAAGCTTTGGGCCCATCCCAGGCCAGATCAAACTCCAGGCCAGCCCTTACAGCACCAGATACCAGGTTCATATTCATGGACCTAGTCTATAGGCTGGCTCCCAAGGACCTGGGATCCAGGCCGATACCCATGGACTGAAGCTTCAGGCTTGCATCTGTATAACCAGGTGCCAGGCCCACCAACATGGATCCAAGCTCCAGTATCATTCCAATGAACTCAGGTACCAGGATCATCCTTTCAAATACAAGCACTAGGCATACCCACTCACTGACCCAGGCACTAGGCATTCTGCGTCAATAAGCCTGCCCTGGTTCCTCTAGAAGGGCTGACTAATGAGGGTTTTCCCTGCCAAGGCCATTCTGTATATAATGGAAGACGTGTCTACTTAGGCAAATGTGCAACACAAGGCCACAAGGGAAGGGACATGAACAATCATGGAAACATGACACCACTAAATAAATGAAATAAAGCACTAGTAACCAGCCCTACAGAAATGGAGATCTATGAACTGCCTGCCAAAAAATTTCAAATGATTATCTTAAAGAAGATAATGACCAATATGAGAAGACAGACAATAAAATCCAAATTTGTTTATGTTCACATAAAATGTGAAGCTTACCAATGAGATAGATACCATAAGAAAGAATTAAATGAAAATTGTGGAGCTGAAGAATACAAAGACCAACTAAAAAATTCAATAGAGTGATTCAACAGTAGACTTAATCAAGCAGAAAAAAAGACTTAGTGAGTTTTAACACAAGATATTTAAAATTATGTAGTCAGAGGATCAAATAGAAAACATAAGGAAAATAGTGAAGAAACCCTATAGGACTTAGGAAACACCATCAAGAGAAGCATTATGTGCATTATGAAAGTTTAAGAAGGAGCAGAAAGAGACAAAAGCAGAAAACTTATTTAAAGAAACAATGATAGAAAACTTTCCAAATCTGGAAAGGAAAATGAATATTCAGGTTTTCCAAATAGATTCAAATAGATCTAGCACAAAGAGATCTTTTCCAAAATATAATAATCAAATTCTCAAAAGAAAAAATATAAAGAATTTTGAAAGCAGCAAAAGAAAAGTGAATTATCACTTACAAGGGAACCCCTCATAGGACAATAAATGGATTTATCAGTCAAAACTTGATAGGCTGAGACATATTAGTACAATATAGCCAAAGTGCTGAAAGCAAAAAATGCTGCCAACAAAGAATACAATACATGTCAACATTGTTTTTCAGAAATGAAGTAGAGATTCAGGTATTCCCAAACAAAAGCTTAGGAATTCATCACCACTAGACTTATGCTACAGAAAATGCTAAAGGAAGTTATTCAGGTTAAAATGAAGGAATGTTAACTAAACATAGGAAAACATATGAAAGTATAAAAGTCACTCTAAAGAAAAGAATATAGTCAAATTCAGAACACACTAACACTGTAATGGTGGTGCATAAGTCAATTTTAACTCTAGCATAAAAGTAAAAAGACCAAAGTATTAAAAACAACTATATCTATGATAATGTGTTAATAGATGCACAATGTAAAAAGATGCAGATTGTGACATCAATAACAAAATGTGTGTGGAGTAAGTTAAACTGCAGTGTTTTGTACACAATCAACATTAAATTATTATCAGCTTAAAATAAATGTTATAACTATAAGATACTTCATGTAAACCTCATAATAATCACAAAGAATAAAACTTGTAGTAGATACACAAAAGAGATAAAGAATCAAAGCATACCTCTATTTTAAAAAATCATCAAATTACAAAGGAATACAGCAAGAGAGGAACAAAAAAAAAGAAGAAACTTCAAAACAGTAACAAAACAATTAGCAAAATGGCCGCAGTAAGTCTTTACATCTCCATAATTACTTTAAATACAAATGGATTAAATCCTCTATTGGAAAGAAACAATAGCTGAATTGATACAAAACAAGATCCAGCATATGCTGCCCATAAGAAACTCACATTAGTTTGAAGAACACACATGGACTGAAAGTGAAGGAATAAAAAAAAGTATTCCATCTACATGGTAACCAAAAGAGATCAGGCAGGGTCTATACTTATATAAGCCAAAGTAAACTTTAAGTCAAAACTCTCATGAGACAAAGAAGGTCATTACGTAATCATAAGGGGGTCATTTCATCAAGAGGATGTAACAGTTGTAAATATGTGTACACCCACTGTTGGAGCACCAATATATGTAAGGCAAGTATTAACAGAACTGAAGGGAGAAATAGACAGTAATAAAATAATAATATGAAACTTTCAGTACCCCATGAGTAACAATAAAGAAATCATCCAGACAGAAATTCAGCAAGAAAACAGTGAACTCAAGCAATGCTATAGACCAAATGGAGCTAACAGTCATATACCAAATGCTTCCCCCAAAAGCAACAAATACACATTCAAGTACACATGGAATGTTCTCCAGAATAGTCAGACCACAAAATAAATTTAAGAGGATTAAAATCATATCAAGTATCTTTTCTAACCACAATTTGATGAAATTAGAAATCTATGGCAGGAGGAAAATTGGCAAAGTTATCAATACATGAAAATTAAACAACATACATCTGAATAACTGATGCGTTAAAGAAGAAATCAAAAGGGAAATTTAAAAAAATATCTTGAGACAAAAGAAAATAGAAACACAACATACCAAAGCTTTTGAAATACAGAAAAAGCAGTTCTAAGAAGAAAGTTAAAGCAATAAACATCTATATCTGACATGATCACTTATTCTAAGTGAAATACGCCAGGCACAGAAAGACAAATACACCATGAGCTCACTTATAAGTGGAATCTAAAAGTCAGTCTCCTAGAAGCAGAGAGTAGAATGGTGATTGCCAAGGTTTTGAAAGAAAGGAAACAGAGAGATGTTGGTCAAAGTGTATAAGGTTTCAGTTATGCAGGATCAGTATTTTCTACATATCTAATGTACAGCATGGTAATTACAGTTAATAATACTGTATTATATAATTGAAATACGTTAAGTGAGTAGATCTTCAATGTTTTCACTACATAAAAGGTAACTATGTGATAATGAATATGTTAATTAGCTTGATAGTGGAAATCATTCACAATGTATACATATGCTAAACATCACATTGTACTCCTTAAATACAAACAATTTGCCAGTTATACCTCAATAAAGCTGAATAAAGTGTTCATTAATCTAGAATAAACATTTTGTTATGTGCTTTCATAAAGTCCCTCTGCATTTATTAAAAATAGAACCAAGAAAACATTTCTATAATCATGATGGGCAATTAGTGGAGCCAAATGGGACAAAATCATTTCCAGATAGAAGAGTTATATCTGAAATCACTGGCAAAATGTTCTGGAACAGATTGTCCACTTTTTCATGTATTCAAATAGAACCAGATGAATTTTACGCAAAAGATTTTAGAGTGGCACTAAAATCATTCCTTGTCCTTCTATTCAGATACATGTGCTGATTAAGTTCCATAATTTTCCTAACGTGTCTATAACCTTTGTCAAGATTATTGTCAAAGCATGTGTAACTGTATTTAAGCAGCAACAAATAATATCAGTACTTGAAAATTATGCAGAATGAACCAACATTTTCCCCCAACCTTTATCAATATCCAATTATGAAAAAAAAACTATTTATGAAGGATATCCTACAGAAATAAATATAAATTTTCTTATCTGTTCTAAATTTTATTTTATGTTAAGCCAAAACTATTTGCTTAGGAACCCAATGTATTGTGTCTCCTTTAAAAAATAAATTTTTGCTAAAAATGCTCTTTGGCATTACCATGATGTTAAAGCCTACCATGAAAGACCATGTTAGAAAAGTTCTTTTTGTTGTAGTTATTATAGGAATATTATTAAGGACATATTAACCATACTACTTGGTTTTTCTGTAAGGACTGTGGAAAAATCCCCGCCTTACACTGATCTAGAGATGTCCAAGAACCAATCTCCCAGGGATACTGAGGAACAACTCTATCTTTTGTTGTAAATCTTTTCATTTAATAAGTATTAATGACAAGTGCACTTCATTTTATTTTACAATCTGATTTTCACTCCAGGTAACTGCTCTGGTTGTCTTCTGGGGCTGTTAGCAGTGCTAGAGAGAAAAGCCCCTCCTCACTGCGGACAGTACTACATGGCTGAGTTGAGCTTTTCAATGCACTGTCAACAGAGAGGTTTATTAAAGCAAACTACAAGGAGAAGCAGCATCTCTGTCATATGGGTCAGTTTAAATTTGTTCTATCAGCTCTAATTACTATGTTGTTTCAGCAAATGTTATCTGCTTTCATTATAATAGTTATAATATATGAATATTGAGTCCTAAGAATTAAATTCAAGTGAATACCTTTAATTTGATCAAGTGCCATTTCAGAAGCCTCCTTTTCCCTAGTAGGATGAAGACTTAGGCATTATCATCACATATTGATATCTGTAATTAAAGCATGGTATGTTATTAAAGGTAACAAGACTACTTCATACAACAAAAAATAAATTACAAATAGAATTTGTGAGAAGACATTTAAATAAAACTTTTAAAGTGATAAATTTAGAAGATGTAGTTTAAGGTATAAATTGAATCTGCAAAGCAGCAGCTACAGGACTTCCAAAATCGCTACATTCCCCTTTGAGCACCAATCTAGAGAGAGTTGTCCTAAATAAATAGGTAACTTTTTGAAGAGTTCCATGAAGTGGACTTTATTCCACATTGCTTTTCACATGGACATCTAATACAGAGCCTATGTTTAGCTAAAGATGCCTTCAGAAAGGTGTAGTGTTTCAAATCCAATCACATTAAATTCCAACATATGATACAGATATTCAGCCATTTTAAATTATGACAGTCTTTTTATCTTTAATTTTAAGACTTAAAGCTATTTCACACCCAGAATATCAATACTGTATCACAAGCTGGGATGAAAACTTACCTAGGCTCTAGGGGAAGTAATCCACATAACTTTGAAAGTTATATTGATGTATTTACTGCTTCCCAATAGTACCCATAAAGTAAATGGAATCCTAAACTCTACCAAGATATACTTTTCAGACTGTCATAAATTCCATTCACACAGGATAGGATAGCCAACTCAAGAAGCAAACAAAATGATTGTAAAGAACATGGCTGTGCTGCATCTAAGCAGGCACAGGACAGTAGGCATAGGCCGAGGCAAACAGCCTGAATGACTCAGCAAGATTGTGGCGCACGCGCACAGTTACGTGTCTTATGTAATCACAGCCAGGAAGCCATAACATAGGGAAGCTTACCACCTGGCTCTCAGCCACTATTGTTTGTGTGGTGTATAAATGTAACACTGACACTGTGAAGGAGCTGCTAAATAGAGCCATGTTTCATTTACCTGCTGTTTCTTGAATGTTCTTCCAGCTCCCTGCCCCCCGTTTACCCAGTCTCCTCCGCCCTCAGCTGGGGCTGGAACCTGACCCTGAACAAGACAATGATGTACAAATTTGAACCAGTTCACTATGTTAGTCTTGGAGTGTGTGTGTGTGTATATGTTGTGGGGAGGGTAGTTATCAAGTAAAACTGCTTTCCACTTTACCCTCTGTTCTAAGCTATTTTACTGGTTTTAAAAAAATCACTGGGGTCAGATTTTATAAGGATAAATTCAAACTGGCAAAATACAAAAACGACAAAACAAAGTAGATGTAAGATCAACATGGGAGGATGTTACATTCTTTTAAACAAAAAGCAAAGTGATAATTCCACTTCAGTTCTATTGTATTTGTGTTCTTGTTAAATTTTTACTGTGGAGGAGGATGACATTAAATTAGAAACTATACTTTCACAAAAATACAGTATTATCTGACTTTAATAAAAATATAAATTTGTCAATTGTTGATATAGTATTATACTTGATGTGACCATATATGTTCGATCCACATACTAGATAATATATAAATACTAACATGATGGACCAGAATGTAAAAATGCCTGCATTTCCTAACAAGATACTATAAGGCTTTGGGTATTTGAAATTTCTCGATGACAAAAACTAAAACTGGAATGGTGGTTTCCAGAGGCTTGGGGGAGAAAAAATAAAGAGATTTTAGTCAAGGGTAAAAAGTTTCAGTTAAACAGGATAAATAAGTTCTACAGGTCTACTATACTACATAGATACAGTGTATACATATATAATATATACATACACATACACTAACTATAGTTAACAATATAATAGTGTATACTTAAAGTTTTGCTAAGTCGGTAGATCTTATATTAAGTGTTTTTATTGCAAAATGATAATAAGAGAATGGGAAGAAACTTTTGGAGGTGATGGATAGGTTTATGGCATAGATTGTGATGATGATGGTTTCGTGGTTGGATACTTATCTCTAAATCATCAAGTTGTATGCATTAATCATGTATAGCATTTTATATGTCAAAAAAAGAAAACAATTAAAAGATGAGGTGAAAGCTGCAAAGCATGGTTGAGAAAGTACAAATAACTATGGGAATTCATTCAAGGAAATTATCATATTGCTTGATGGATTAAAAACTCTTTCATGAACCATATATTAGAAATAAGTTCAAATGCTGACAGGCAGATTTGAGAAAGATTTTTTTAGATAAAGTTACTGGCATAAGTAAAAATTCATGTTGGAAAATTTGAAGATATATGGTGGAGAGTTCAAATTAGATATATTGGAGTATTGGAAAATCTGGCATAAGCTTTTAATTGTAATTTAGGATAACTTTATCTCGGGTCTTAAACACCAGGGTAGGAAATTTGTACTATATTCAGGCAGCATCAACAAGCAGTAAATGTTCACTGAAAGTATATTATGCCATTCTAGTGGCATTATAGAAAAGTGACTCAACAACTCTTTATTGAGCAAGACTGGAGGAAAGAAGAATTAACGAAAGACAGCTCAGTTAAGAGACTATTTCAAGTTCTTTAACCTCTCTGTAATTCATATGCTCCTTCTGCTAAAAATAATAGCCTTATAATGTTATAAGAGTTTAATAATATATGAAAACAAAAGTGAGCATGGAAGAAACAGTAGCTCTTTCTAATATGATAAATTACGTAGATTTAGGAAAGTTGTATAAAACTGGAAAACATAATTTCTTTAATAAATATGGAATCATAGTGTTACCTGAGGGTTTTTAAAGGGTAAAATAAAATAGTATTTGTTAACAGCCTTGTCAGCAATGAAGTTCTACACAAATATAACATGATATAAAAGTGAATGGTATAAAAAAAAAACAGAAGGGAAAATAATAAAGAAATATATTCACTACTCAACATATATAATTCACAGAGGGATTAGTAATCTTTCATCACCATAGACTATAGTCCTTAAAAAACCATGAGAAGCTTTAGACCCACATTTATTAGTTGCTGCTCAACACTGTGATCAAGGTTTGAAAGAAAACATATCCAAGGAGAGTTATCATCATTTTTCTGAAAACACCGGTGTCCAGGGATACTGGTAAAAATTCCCTGGAACATCATCTTTGCAAGGTGTACTGTGACACCATCAATAGTCTGCCTCCTGCACTATGGAAGGTGTGTGGCTTCTTTTTGTTTTTACATCATTAGTTATTGGTTCATTTAAATACAAAACCAACACCTTATTATTTCTACTACATATGCAATATCTAGATAAGCGCGGTGATATAATTCACAACCCTATTCCCATTTTTTTACAGAAAATATTTTAAAAATTACTATCCCACAAAAACAGTCTTCCAAATGTAAAGGTATAAGATATATTACTTATGTCTTTTTTAAAAGAGCTAATTTTCGTTATGTTCACAAATTTTCCCATCATTACAGATTAAGTGATGAAAACCATGGTGACCACAAGTAAGTCGCTTGCACTACTGATTTGTAGAATTAAACAGATGCTGCCAACGCCACCACTAAATCTTCAAGGAATCTTTACAGAAGCCGACAAAAGCATGTCAATACTGAGAACAACGGAATGTAAAGTATGAATCGCTTTGGGGTGTGTGGCTAGAAAATTTTTTCCCCAGTCAAAAAAAGAAAAGAAAACAAAACAAAACAAAAAAATACTGCAGAAATATTTTAGAGCTAGCAATTAACCTGCTGCTAAAGTTGGCATTGAATCTCCCAACATATCCTTTTCCCTCAGACCTCTAACGAAATCTGTCCATGAGGAATGCTCATTTCCTGCTGGGTAAGACACTGTGCAAATGTAGAATTTCACAGTTCACCAGAAGGATTATATCACTTTCCTTTTTGGAAGAAGTCCAGACTTCATTACAAAGGTGTATCACTTTGTTATACTGCAGAAAGCAACATATGGCATTCTATCTCTCAGCAGCTAAAAATAGACTTTCAGCTAAAAAACTTAGTTGTGAAATAAACAGTACATGTTCAGTATGTGCAAAGTTAGGAGTATAATCTATGAATTATGAACAAATATACCAATATATGTGTGTTTTTAAACATGCCATTGTAGAAATACAATGCACAATTTATAATTGATAGATGCTATCATTTTCTTTCATTGGTAAAGGATATTAGAGTTAAAATGGTTTATACGTGATCGGTAACACTGCCAAAACTCAGGAGATAAATAATCAGACACTTGTTTTTAAAAGGTTTGTTGCAACCATAAGCTGAGTTCCATTAAAGAAGATTAAATAAAATCAGACCATCCACACAAACTTGCACTAATGGGAAAAATGAATGGATCATTAGCTGAAACAGTTATTCATATAACATTGTTAACATAAACTGTATTAGCTTTTCATGACAGTTAAATATTATTAAAAGCTAGTCAGTTACAGATAGCAACCTATACATTCACAAGACTGATGATTTCAATCTAAAGGGCATGGTTCTGTTTATGACTTTCATTCAGGTCTCTGCTGCTGGAAATACTGAGTCTATTATTTCACAGTGTACCTAGAGCCACAGTGTGATTTGGTGGCCAAATAACTGAAAATTTTGCTCTGTACTAGATGGAGATGAAATACGCACAGTAGGAGCATAAAATAGACAGCAGTAGTTTACCATGAAACTACCAAATTTCTACTTTTCTCTTTAAAGATATGTGTCATTGTAAAGTTGGAATTGTGTGGCATTTCTAAATACTGAGAAAAGAAATGCATGCTTATGTCCCACGTTCTCATGCTGGAAAAAATTAGCAATATAGTTTCTAAAATCAGGTGTGATTTCCACTTATAGGCTGTAGTGAATGGTACTAACTTCCCAAGGAATTGAAAAAGTTACTAATGTCATGTATTCTTATCTTTACTTCATTTCATGTGATTTCCTGTAGTATAGTATAATTAATGGCTTGGGTATGAATGCTGATACTTCTTCACATTTCTCCCTCATTTATTACACTTCAGTATGTAAGCATTTGTTTTCCATAGATATAACTGATGGCATCATCTCTAAATGCGAATAGAAATGTTTAGTAATCTGTATGTAATTTGCTTTCCTTGAACTTTGCATTTCATGACCTCTCACACTATGTGTATTGCTAAACTTAACACCCAACTGATCTCTCAATAAATGATCGCAAATAAATGATGATGTCATTAAATATAGGTACTGCATTCTTTACTGTGTGGGGAATGCCTTAATAACTGAATTATTCAAATCCATTAAGGTTAGTAGCATTTTGCTTTTATACCCCTTTGGTAAGTTCTTCACTTGCCATATACAGACACATCAGCTAAGCACTTCTTTTAAATCTGAGCACTCTTCTCTCACACTCCTTTCTAGAAGTTCCATGTTACTAAAAAGAAAACAAATATACAGAAAAATTAGAACAGCATTCCATCATGTCTCATCACACTAGATGCACAATTACTCATAAATATGCACAAGTATACACACACACAAATTCTATATGTATACCTCAAATACTTGCCCAAGTAGTCTATGCATCTAATTTTGAGTTCCAATTGCTTTGTTCTTTCCTTCAGAATATGAAAAAACTTGAGATAACATAGCATAATCACATAGATGGTAAAACCCAGCTAGAAACCTATATTTCTTCACGATGACATTTTAATGAACCAGAAAAAAAATTAAAGCAAAGAAAATTTGCTCTTGCCCATAGTCAGACTAATGACTTTTGCATATATTGTTTTCAAATCATACAAGGAAGGGTTTGCTCTCATGCAGGATAGCACAACACCACACAAGCACACAGACTGCCCCCCCCCCACACACACACACAGAGTTTATTAGCTTAATAATGGACTTCAGTTTAATTTACAGTTATGCAATTGGCCAAAGATTTAGTACTTCTAGTGGCTTTTCTTCACCTTTTGTTATGGTGCTGTTTGATTGTATTTATGAATGTGACCTTATATCCTATACCAGCAGAAGAAAGTAAGATAAATTGGACTCTAAAACACACACATAGTAGCAGAGAGTACTGTTTAAAGATTAATAAGTGATCTCACTATAGCACTTCAACTGCCTATAGCCTAAAACTATCTTTCCTCTGGTACTTTCCAGGCAGTCCCTGAAGGACCAATAAACCAAGAGCACTAGACAGATCTGAACTTACCTATCACAGCTTTGATTGTGCTCTTGTGCACTATGTGTTTCTTCTTAAAAGCATCTAATTCACTGCCTGTTCACAGCATTCATTATTTGAAGCAAAGGACACTAGGAGAAGTAAATAAAACTTTAAAAAGACATATTGTAAAGGGAATTCATTCCATTTTCCTTTCTTATGTATCAAAACCCAAAACCTTGTATTGCTCTAGAGATGTGATTTTCACACCACTTAATATTTTTTTTGCCAGATATAAAAACTGCACATTTCTAACTGCATTTCACCTCCTAGAATCTGTGCATTGCACCAAGATGTTCAGACATCTCATCACAAGGCTTCCAAGACATCAGTACCTGGGGGACCCCACTTTGGGACCTGAGGACACATATTCTCTTCACAGTGGGAATTCCAGAAGGGAAGAAGCCAATGTAAAGAATTTCGAACTCTTCCCATAGTCTACCTGTTTACCCCCTCCACGCTATGGATTTCATAATTAGAAACACTCCCACAATGTTTGACCCTCCTTTCCAACATCTGATCTCCAGATTTCTTCTTGAATAGCATCTGCAAAACTTCCTGTGACAGAAAATGGCTACAGAATCTATCCTGTTATTACTTAACATTAGCATGAGTAATTCATATTATGCAGTTGTAGTATTTTACAATTGTTTGACTAGCTAAAATTTATAAATGTACCCACGTGAATACACTTCCGTTTGCAAAACTAAATATCAGATGCATAACACTAAACTCTGCAAACATGAGAAACTGTCTTTCAGCACTTGTTTCATTTTTTATGCAAAGATATCGAAAAACACAGTCAGAGCTCATTATCTTTAGCCTGAAGAAAAGACTTGTGTAAAGACCAGATGAAAGGAGACAGCTAAAAATTAAAGTCAAACCAGATAATTCAAAGGAAACAATTTCTTTTGGTGGCTAAATGTCCTAATTTGTCTCTATTGAGGCATTAACCATGAAGTTTTCACATCATTCCTTTTGCATGAGTTTATGCCAGCTATATGAGTACAGAGAGGAGAATGGCAATGTCTACTTGTAAACCTCAAACTGAATTTCTAATTAGTATAGTTATTTCTAATGAATTATTTACATGTTTTCAACAATAAAGGCAGTGATTTGTTATTTAATATTCTTTATATAATGATATTTGGCTGTTGAGAGTATCTTATCTTTTTGTTCTACTTCATGCAATGCTATTTTGAGATCTCCAACACACTTTAGACCAAACAGGGTTTTCTGAAAAATGATTTTCATTCTAGTATTTGTTTTCTTTTCTTTTCTTTTCTTTTTTTGAGATGGGGTCTCACTCTGTCGCCCAGGATGGAGTGAAATGGCGTGACCTCGGTTCACTGCAACCTCCGCCTCCTGGGTTCAAGTGATTCTCCTGCCTCAGCCCCCCGAGTAGTTGGGATTATAGGCACGCATCACCACGTCTGACTAATTTTTGTATTTTTAGTTAGAGATGGGGTTTCACCATGTTGGACAGGCTGGTCTTGAACTCCTGACCTTGCAATCCACTCATCTCAGCCTCCCAAAGTGCTAGGATTACAGGCATGAGCAACTATGCTCAACTTTATTTTAGTATTTCTAAGACTAGAGAACACAAGAGGCAGTGTAGCTTAAATAGGTACCTAATAAACAGCTATTGTTATAGAGAATATAATTCACCTTTAGAAATGATGCCTATTAGTAGCAATTACTAGTGACGCCCAGTCAAGTTGCGTGAAATGATTGTATTATCCATCAGTCAAAACCAGCTATGTTATGACAAAAATACTCTAATAAACATATTGATGCAGAAATTATGACTTTTGCTTTAACCAATATCTTTAAAGTTACTTTTGTCACTTTCAAACAATTTTTTTTCTTTTTTTTTTTGAGATGGAGTCTCGCTCTGTCACCCAGGCTGGAGTGCAGTGGCACAATCTCGGCTCACTGCAACCTCCGCCTCCTGGGTTCAAGCAATTATCTTGCCTCAGCCTCCCGAGCAGCTGGGACTACAGGCATGCACTGCCAAGCTGATCTAATTTTTGTATTTTTAGTAGAGACAGGGTTTCACCATGTTAACCAGGATGGTCTTTATCTCCTGACTTCGTGATCTGCCCGCCTTGGCCTCCCAAAGTGCTGGGATTACAGGCGTGAGCCACCGTTTATGTCACTCAATTTTTATTTTATTTTTATGACCTTATAGTTGGGATAAAAATGAACTGAGAAAAAATAATTTATAATTTGATAGAACTAGAATGAAACTTTGGAATTAGCACTTTAATCCTTACGAAAGCATTGAGGTGTCTGAAGTACAACATGTATTCAGTGCTATCTAATGAAGACATATATCCTGTGGCAAGCAGCAGGAATTCTATTATTACCACTTGTATGAAAAGGAAAGACATCTCCTAGCTGATAACTCCCTGGTGAGTCTTTCAAAGATGACCAAGACCATTTCCTGACATAGTTTATCCTGGGGAATTGCAACATCTTTGTAGCTTACATTATGAGACACATCATGCTTATTTTGGCAGCACGTATACGAAAAAAAAAAAAAAAAAAAGTGATACACATCAGACTGCCTGCCAAGATTCATTAAATGAGTGGTCCCCTATCCATTTCTTCTAATACATATGGAATTGAATGACACAGTACAGTTTTTTCCTGCAAGTATGTCAGAGGTTGAAAGCTCTACAAATACCAAAGGAATAAAGACAACTTCACCAAAGGCATATTTATTGAGGACATTGGTCATTAAAATACTCTGAGCTATAATATATTCTTTCAGAACTTATGTCAATGAAAAACCTTTGGTTACACTGATAATCTTTTTGTAAGCAACCATATTACTTGTTTTCACATTGATTACTAGGAAATGCAGAATCCAAATTAAAGATCGACCTTAAAAACCAGCATGACTCTACATTTTCTGTTTATGGCCTTCCCTTTGTTGGACTGATTTTATAATATTTTTTCTTATGATTCTATTTCTATTTCATCATTATTTAATCACATACATTATTTTCACAAGCTGATTTTAATACTTAACTTGGAATATTAAATTATCTCTACTTAATTTGGAGAACAGATTATTTAAAAATGCATAACAGCAGACTAAAATATCTGAAAGACTGTCAAGTTGAAGGAGAAGCTAATGCATACTGTGCTGTGTAACAGGGGCAAATAGGATTTTAAAGGAGCATGTGCTAGATAGTGAGCAAAAATTTTCTAATCATTCTTCAGGTCCCAAATGTAATGGGTTTCCCTGAAAAGCTGTGGAATCTTCAACACTGCACAAATTTAATCAGAGGCTAAATAACTATCCATCTGGCATGTTGACAAAAGTTTCTAGATTGGAAGGAAGGTTAAACTAGAAGCCCTCAAAAATCTCTTCCATTCTATGATTCTATAATTAAATACGCTATACTTAATGAGCCATTTGTTATCTTCATAGGGTGAGTAACTCATGGCACAAGTCTCCCTGCTGTCTTCCTGCCAGGTCTAGAAATTAAATTAAATTAAGTCCATCACCATATAAAATTAGGAATAAAGAAAAGTTATGCCATAATGACTTGAAGAGTCTTGAAGTTTGAATATAGACTTAAAAACTTCAGTTTTGTTGCCAGCAAGAATTCATAGCCTGTTCATATCACAAAACTAATACTCTAAATATGAGGGATCAAAACAGGAGAAATATTGTGATGCCATTCAAATTAAAGTATGACAAGAGTTTAATAAAATATATTTTAATGTTCTAAATATTAAAAAGTAGACAATTCATCATATTACAGATATATTTTTAAACTACTTCCTATAATGAGAAACACGATAAAGACTCCTGTCACCGGAAAGGTACACTTATTTGTTTGGGGAGGCATTGAAAATCCACTGTGAGCCAGTAAACTAAATTGAAATGGCATATTTAATACCTGCACACATCCATCATTATATTTATGCAATGTAAGAAAGATAAATGGATCATAAATTTGCTAAATTATTCACTGAGGTGAATCGTCTTAAAGTGAATGAACTGACATATCATATATAAATATTGTAAGTGGACAAACAACTTTATAGGTAAATAAAACAAATTTTTGTTTCCTTTCACATTTGGTAGTCTCAGAGAGGTATACTTATTGTTTTCTTATTTTTGTTAGAAATAAATTGAATAAGGCTTGAAAAAGTAAATATTACTTAAAGGTACATAACAAAAAGTTAAATAACCAGAGCAAAATATGCAATTTCCAAGTATTCAAGCTACTAAAAATTCCAACATTACATAATTACAACATTTTAAGCCCTAATGCCAACTGGATTTTGACTAAACAAAGCAAGAATGAATCAAGAATGATTGGGAAAAAGTGAAAACAAATCAAAACTGAAGATCAAATTGAAGAATGCCAATTGAAACATGTGACTGTTGTTATTAAGGAAAGGAATGGCAGACACTGTATTTTTTAAATTTTGCAATGGATGGCATTTGTTTTTTGGAGAAGTAGTTATGTTCAAACCTTACAGAAGCCTAAAAGAGTCTGGTGGCTATCAATGTCTTTAACTGGTATGAACTCCAGCATCCCTGATTTTTTTAAAGTCAAGTCTCTCCTGCCTTAAGCCTACCCCAAAAAGACAGGCTCTGCAGCCCTGCCTAGGAAATGGTCATGATACCTGAACTCATTGCAAACACTGTTCAATAAATACTCACAAATTATAGCTTTCTTCCCCAAATTTGGCATCTAAATACAAGAGCAACAAGATCTTACAAAAACATCTTAAGGACTGGGACCTTGGATCTACAATTTAAAATATATATACTGGAACCATATAGTAACAGCATTTGTAAGATAGCAACATAATAGAGGTTTATAAGCAGATAACATAAAATTCAGTTTCCATTAGAGGTTTATTTTCATTACAAAATATTTTAGATAAAAATGTAAAGAATAAAAAGTAGCAGACATTCTCATACCTACTAACCAGATTTGGCAAATGTTAATATCTTGCCATGTTTGCTTCTGGTTTATATTGTTTTCTAAGAGTACAATTTAAAAGATGCATACAAAAGCCATCATCCATCCCATTCTCTTTCCCATTTAAGCAAGGGGTA